GCCTTTTCCCACCTTCCGCCGGTGAGAACTTTGTTAACGGGGAGAGATGGAGGGTGAGGGAGAGAGACGGCGGGCGGGGTTTGTGCGTTTCTGCCCGCTGATCGCCACCCCCCCCACACTCCCCGCCTTGTCACCGCTACTTCTGCTGTTTGAAGAGCTGCTGTTTGTCCGCCCAAACTCCGGGGAGTGTACGGAAGGGACATCCTGATTGTCCCTGACACGGGTCTCTGTAGCCCCAGGCAAAGACCTGGCCGCTGGGGAGGGATTCGGTCTCAGGGCAGAGGGAATGGTGTGCCGGGGGGAAAGGGCTAAAACCCAACTCCTTCCTCTCCTAAGCAGATTAATGTCTCCATCATGGGAAGAGAAAAAGGAAAAAAAAAATCTATGAAAAGTCATTTAAAAAGGACAGTCGGAGAGTTGATGACCAGCTTCCGGAGTGGGACAGAGCCAGGCGGGAGCCAAACCTTGCAGAGCAGGGCTGTGAGCAGCGACAGCAACGTTTGGGAGATTTAGCGGAGAGGAGAGGGATGCAGTAGTTTGATGTGCAGGATGGGGAGAAGAAAGACTGTCTTGCAATCCCTGTGGCCTCCACAGACAGCATCAGCCTTTTAGATCTCCCTGGGTGGCTGCTACTGAGTCCCATATGTGCCTGGCATACACTGGCAGGGAGGATGAGGGGGGAAAAAATGGGAGCTGGTGATGGTGTGGGAGAATGGGGCATTAGCTGAGTTTGTACATGTCCCTGTTGTTCAAGTAGGAAAGCCGTCTGCTGGAGCTTGCAGCCCTTCTCCGGATTTGGGAGTTTTGGGGCTCAAGGGGATGATGAAGTGGGAATGGGAAGAGTTGAGACAAGGACCAGGACTCTGGAGAGAAAGGCCAGGCTGGGAAGAATTCCAGTGAGCTGGGACTGGTCTTCAGGTGCCATGAACACTTGTCTGAGAGCTGGGGCTGTGGGCTAGAGAAACAGATTTTTTTTCACTGTAGGTAACCTGGATTGGCCCAAACTAAGATTTTCAGAACTTCTGGATCCTTTACAGGTGGGCAGGGATCAGTAGGTGGGAAGGGAGGCAGAGGGGGGGCTGTGGGGGTGCTGCTGTTGAGATTGTTCCTGGGGTGAACAGGACTGTAAATAAAGCTGAGGAAGTGAGAAGATGGGGGTTTCTCTCTTGCTGTTGCAGGTTGTTTGACTTGGACCCTGACCTGTTGCCCCTTTTCCAGTACAACTGCAAGCAGTTTGCCAGCCCTCAGGAGTGCCTCTCTGCCCCCGAGTTCCTGGATCACATCAGGAAGGTGAGAGAGGGGCTGTGGCACGGCCAGAGCGCAGCTTCTGTGGAGGAGGAAGCCCTTAGGCAACGGCTTGGGACTGTGGGTGTCTAACTGGGGAGCGCATGGGAGGTGTCCCGAGATGGTTACTCGTGCTAGCAGAAGGTGCTATTGCCAGGATAAAGTGCCTTACAACACTGAGGATGGGATGAGGATGCACGTTGTGGTGGGTAAGAAGCACCATGCTGATTTCCATGCACTCATCTGTGGGTGGATTGCCTCTTGTGAAGTTGGAAGCACCCTCCTTCTACTGTGGAAGTGCCTCGGTGAGCTCTCTTCTGTCCAGAAAAGGCCTGAAACCCTCTGCTTGGCCACGTGCTGACCAGGAGGTGGCACAGAGCTGGGCAGTGGGCCAAGATCCTGGGGACCCACTAGTGTGGATAGGCTGTTGGTGCAGCTGAAGAGCCAGAAGGCCCACAGCATCTTTTAGATAGTCTCTGGGGAAGTGCTGCAATATGCATTTGCCTTCCCCCAAAACAGGGAGAGGAGCAATGCTGATGTCCTCTGGAGCAGTTCATGCATGGACAGAATTACACCGAGTGCAGCAGAAACCCTTTGCTGAGCCCTGAAAAGTGGCCATGCCAGGGCAGAGCGCAGCCTTGGCTTGCAGATGCCTTCATAAACTGTCTGGCTCCATCTTTAAACCAGTTTGGTGCCTCGCTTGCCTGTCTTTATTCCTTGCAAGAGGCTGTTTCAGGACTGCGCTCCTCTGATAGCTGCAAGCTTTTTGTTATTTTCCAGCCTCTGTTTATTGGCAAAGATAAGTCCATTTTTACTTCTGCTATTATTGCCTTCAGCTGAAATAGCTCTTTGCTCTTGTTGGAGATAATTTCCCCGTTGAAATTATAGAGCACAATTCTACCACCTCTTGGCTTTCCCAAGCTAACCATGTCCTGGCTTTAATCTCTCCTTCTTAATTTGGTGTGTCTGTTCCCTTCATCCCTCATTAACCCTTCTCTGTCCTGTTTCCAGTTGACTCTTCGTGCTCCTGGGAGACCATGGTGGTATGTGCTTTACCAGACCAGGTCTCTTGGCTGTACTCTCTACCCTATCTCCTCAAAATACCTTGGCTCATCTTAGAATTGGAGTTGCCTTATTCACAATTGCACCATCTTGGCAACTTCTAGTTTGAAACTCTAGTCCTGGCAACTTTTAGGGCTCCTCTGCAGTTGTCCTGGGATCCTGAGAGCTGTAATGACTGCATCACTGTTAGATCTTAGCCTGTAACTGCTCTGCTATAGGGCTGGTTACCCCGCTCTGAGACAGGGAGGTCAGCAGTGCTGCTTGCTGTGGCACCTCTGGCAGTGTCCCATGGAAGGATGTGGTGTGTGCTGCTGCCAGCATGCCTCACTGATGTGACACGCAGATTGCAGTAGACCAGAGGAAAGCTCAGAGGGGATCTACTGGGCTGGGAGGTCATCAGGCTGAGAAGGGTGAAGTAGACAGGTCAGACTCTTCCTCTGAAAGGGCAGCAGAGCCTTGCTGTTAATGCCATTCTGCCTCTGCATCTGCAGGTGATGCTGGTGATCGATGCTGCTGTGAGCCACCTGGAGAACTTGTCCTGCCTGGAAGAGTATCTCTGCAACCTTGGCAAGAAGCACCAGGCAGTTGGTGTGAAGGTCGAGTCTTTCTCGGTGAGGCGTCCTCTCTTGACCCCGTGTGGCGTTGTTTGCGCAGCCCTGCCTGCAGCCCTCAGCTGTCCCCATATCTCTGTGCCCACCTACTGGGTTCAGCTGGCTGGAGAGAAAGATGGTGGCTCAGGGCAGCCCCTGAGCTGCTGATCCTTGTGTAGTGACGTTGGCTCGACCAGGGAAACCCTTGAGCTCTCCTCATTTTCTACCCTCCCCCAGTAAGCCCAGGGAAAAAGGACAGAGGGGAGCACGGCATTTCCCCTGTTTGAAGAGGACCACAGTTTGGGACACTACAATCTCTCCTGCGACACAGGGCTGCTGGCTCAGCCTTTCCCCTGGACCTCTGCACCAAATGCATTGTGTAGACCTCACCTCACACATCTCTGTGTCTGCACTGGGATGGGGTTACTGCAGCTCAGTCTGCTTCCTCCATGGCAGTAAGACAGGACCATCTTCCATTTTAAACCCTTGCTTACTCCTGCCATCAAGCACGGACAGAAATGCTGGACAACACAGCAGAGAAGGGCAGCTTGAAGGAAAGGTTTCTAACCAATGCATGGTTCCCTCCTGATACTGCTAGCTTTGGTCCTCCTCAGAGGGAGCAGGGTCCCCTTTGCTTGGGGTAGTGATCCCCACCAGCTCTGTGCTCAGTGCGTGGGTGGTCCTGGATGGGGTTGCTCACAGCTCCGTGAGGACCAGTGCCCTGTGGAGAGGCTTGAGAGGTGGCAAGACAGTCCTTGAGCGTCCAGCCTGGGGTCTGACCCGGTCTCCTGGCATCTGGGCATTGCTCAGCTTTGCTGATCCACTGCTATGTTAGGGGACGGGGCTGGGAGCCATGGAGGACGGACGTGTACCTCTCTCCTGGTGTTACATGTGTGGTATCAGCCCTTTCTCCCCGCCTGCGCTCCCCACTCACCCGGGGTTGGGGTGTGGGCCATGGGGGTGAGGGCCAGCACAGGGCAGGGGAAGGGGATGGCATGGGCTGGCTCTGTGTCCCCTGTGAGCAGCCAGGGATGGAGTGGCCTGGCCCCGCTGGTGGAGGAGGAGGACCGGCTGCCCTGCAATGGCAGGAGTCCAAAAAGGCAGTGAAGTGAGAGAAGGGGCTGCATGTCATCCCCTGGTGCTGAGCTTGATGCCTCCCTGTTTGGTTTGCAGACTGTCGGCGAGTCCTTGCTGTACATGCTGGAGAAATGCCTTGGCGCCGCCTTCAGCCCAGATGTGCGGGAGGCTTGGACCAAACTCTACGGTGCTGTGGTGAAAGCCATGCGACGCGGCTGGGAGACCCTCCCAGAAGGGGACTAGATGCTGCCATCCATTCCCATCCCTGACCACACAGCGGTCTTGGGCAGGCGGGGTGCTGACGCTGCTCTCTCTGCCTCTCTCCACCTCTGTCTTTCTCTGTGCCCCAGCCCATCTCTGTCTCCTCCAGTCACACCTGCTTTGGGGCTCTCCCAGCGATTCCGCCTTGCTTCGACATGACCACATCTCTGCCTTTGCTAAGGGCTGGCAAGGTACGTCCCTGCAGTGAAGCCTAGGAGCGCCGCAGCACAGGTATGCCACCCTGCCCCACGTTCCTTTGGGCTAGCTGGAGCACCAACACCCAGGCGCCTACTCTGGTTCTTAGCTGGCTCATCTTCCCTCCTCTTGCTACCCTCCCTAGTTAGATGACAGCTAGCATAGGCCTCTTGGGCTTGTTTGCCCGAGATCCTCTTTGCCGTGCTCCAGACCTGCCAGGTCTGGCACTGCTCGGTCCTCCCGTGCTGTCGTGCCCACAGCTGTGGCAGTGGCGGATTTGGCTCCCTCCAGAGGCAGGGGCAGCAGAGGTGGGAGCTGGCCATGCTGTGCCATGTGGCCGTCCTCCCCAAAACCTTCGGGGAGCTTTTCCCCCTCTCCCTTCAACGAACATGTCACTACTGGATGGTTAATTCTGCTGCTCTCTTCTGCCTTGCCTCTCCCCTGGATGGGATCAGTGGCTTTTCCTCACGTCAGGTTCGCCACTACTTAGTGTGTTTCCTAGGGATGCTTCAAGGAGCGGGATCACGTCAATCCCAAGGTGAGGCTGCTTTCAGCAGGTCTGGGCTGACAGCTGAAAGGCTTTGTGTTGGTTTGGCTGGTTGGTTTAACCACAGAGCCAGCTGAAATGCAGCCGCAGTGGTGGCTCTTTACTGCTTTGTGTTAAGGAGAATAAAGTAAATACAAGGAAAAGATGTCTTAAAATAAAAATGAAGGTTGCAATCATGTCATGGCAACAGCTTCCAGAAATCATTCTGGCTCTTGGCCAGAGGAAGCATAGCTGGAATTTCTCTGCTGATGCTGTCAGGACCTGGAGCGCTTCCCAGCTGCACACAGTGCCCATCTGCAGAGCTCCTCACCCTTTAGTAATCCCTCTCAGCCATACTTGAGACACAGCCTCTTCAGAGCAGCATGAGGTGCGTGCAGCAGTGCTGTGTAGGGACAGGGATGAGAAGACAGCATCTGCTGGAAGATATCCCAGGAAATGACTGAGAGGCAGCACCTGAGGGCTCTGGGGGAAAATTAACTTGAGCACTTTGAAGAAAAGTTCATCTTTACGGGGAAGTCACTGTGGGACAGGCAGAACCATGTCTCCAGCCATCACTAGCCCCAGGGCAAGGACATGGATCAAGCATTCAGTTACAGGCAGCTCCCTTTGTAGCTGCTCCTTCAGGGCAGCAGGAGCCTGGTGCTGAGGACTAAGGTGGTCCTGTTCTAGAGATGCATATACTCAGATGTCCTCCACTCTGGGGCAGGAGAGGGCTGCCCTCTCCTTGCAGCTGCAGCTGAAGTCTCCCAGCCCCATGCCATGGAGGGGATAATGGGATGCCCTGCGAGATGGGCCTCTGCTTCCCTGCCACCAGGCCTGGTGGTGGCTGTAGGCTTCCAGCAAGCAAGAAGCCCTCCAGCTGTGTTTGGGAGGGGACTTGAGGCGTGTTGTGGAACAGGCAGTGAACATCCCCATGTAGGATGCTCGCTGTCCTCCCTGTGGTACCAGACTCCACTCCTGCAGTCCTACAGTGTGGCGTTGTGCACTGTGGCCCATGACTCTCTCCATCAGCTCGGTCAGGTGAGGTCCTTCCCATTGTCGTGCCAGGCAGTGAGGGATGGAGGAGCTGGGGCTGGGGAGAGGCGCTAGCTGTGATGGCATGGTACAGGGCAGGAGGGTTTGGGAATGGGATGTCCTCTTTGCAACCTTATTCTGGGGCATCAGCCTTCACATCATGGGTGGGATATTCTGGCTCTGTGTGACAAGCAGGCAGCTGTGTGATGGGTGGGGTGTGGGTGTTACTGCCCCAAACCATCGCTGTTCCCTCTGGCTTTCCTTGACTTCTCCTCTTCTGTACCATGTTTTGTGTAACTCCCAAGAGAACTGAACTAGTCCGCGTGCCTCTTATACCCAGCTGTACTGTTTATTAAAGAACAACAGTGAGTCTCGGCCCTTTTTGCTGCGGTATGTTTGTTTTAATATAAAAGGCCCAAGTAAGCCAAAAACAACAAAAAAAAGGATGACAGAGAGGGGTTTACTGGTTTCTTGTTGGCTCTAGCTTTGGAGTTATTGGTCACTGGGAGCGCTTGTGTAGTTCAGCTCAACTGACATGAGAAGGCATCCAGCACCAAATGTCTGTTGGGAGGTTTGTGCACTGTAATTGAATGGGTGAGCAGCCGAGGGGCTAGCAAAGGTGTCCTGCTCCTGATTGCTCATTACCCTTCAAATGTAACGATTTCTAGCAGAATTAGAGTTTTAAGCATACAGTCGAAAATCCCTTTTCTGCTGTTCAGCTGCTGAGTTTGAGATAGCATCGTCTCACCTGCTGCTGGTGACCCACAGCTGGTTGCCCGCAAGCAGCAGGGCTTAGCCTCACAGCGAAGTCCTGCCTGGCTCCATCCAGCAGCCACCCCACCAGCTGGACTGCAGAGCTGCCCCAGCAGCCCTGCCCCAGGGAACAGCTGGTGGGGATGCAGGAGGTCCTGTCTCCCCCTTCCCAGGGCATGTTCTAGCTTTGACACGGTGGGTTTCCAGCCCTGGGAGAGTTGGGCACTTGGCATCGAAGAAGGATGGTCCCTAGAGCAGGGAAGCCAGCTCTGGTCTGTAATAGCATCTCCTGAGGGCTGGTAATTCCAGACCTGCCCCAGGAGATCATGGTGAGCATCCTGGGAAAGCCGCGCTTAAGATGGAGCTTATTCTGCAGGGCAACATGCGAAGGGCAAGGAGAGCAGCAGAGATCTGAATGCAAATAAATCCTCCCCGTGGTTCATTACTAAAATAAATTTTCCAGTGCTTTCTGGCTGGGAGCACAGCTGCCAGCCTCAGGGCTGCTGGTGGGAGACCAACCCCAGTGCTGCAGGGAAGGACCAGCACGGCAACCCCAGCAGCACCCCCAGGTTTTACTCCCTGTGCCAGCATCGAGGTTTGCCATGGCTCCCACAAACCGCCCCTTTGCCTTGGATGCTGCTGGGCAGGGATGCTCCTGGCACTGCCCACCGCTGGCCGGCGCAGCAGGGGATGCCGTGGAATTGCTCGGCCTCGGCTGTGAGGGACTTTTGTATGAGCAGGCTGTAATCAGGCGAGCGGGTTTCTGAGGGCCGGAGGCACAGTGTGATGGGGCTTACACAACCTCATTAGGCTGTGATGAGCTTCCCCAGCGCGAGGGCTGGGAGAGCTGTGAGCTGGGGAGGGGGCAATTACAGCCCTCGCTCACAGCCGGGGCTCCGGCCTCAGCTCCCCGGCGCCAGCAAGGCCCTGCATTTAGCCCTGTCTACCACTAATTATGAACTGCGGAGGCCTCTGTGGGGATGTGTGATAAGGGGAGTGGGTTTTTAAATTTTCCATTTTTTTCACCCCAATAGAAGCCCTCCCTGCGTCCCCTGCCACGTTGCCGTAAGCCAGGCTGACTGGGCAGGGCTCACGCCGTGGGAGCCGTGGAGGGCCCGGCAGGAGGGACCTGCTGAAACCAGAGGCAAATCGTTCAAGTAGGAATTTGGGTATAAAGAATGTTTTGGGAGAGAGGAGGGGAGCAAAAGACTGCTGCCTGCTCAAATCGTAGAGAAAGGCTCCCAAAATGGTGTTCACCCCTTTGTTCCCATGACTTCTCCGGGACTTGCTGGTGGGCAGTTCAGCTTTGGGAACAGCCGCTCCATCCCCAGATGGGATGGGTCCCCCCACTGCTCCTGCTCCTTAATGTGGTCCCAGAGTAGCTCCAGGCCATCCTCCTAGTCCTTCCAGGCCTTGTGTGCCCCTGTGGTGGCGTCCTGAGCCAGCCCTGCCTGCAGGGCGAGTGCTGGCAGAGGACGGGCAGGAGAGGCACATGCCTGTGCCAGGGCTGTACCCTGTCCCCAGTGTTTGGGATGGTGCCAAGGGCTGTGCCAACCTTTCCAAAGGGACACGCCAGGGTGCTTCCCTGCTCCTGCACCTTCGCTGCTTCTGCCCACTCGCTGGGTTTTGCTTTTGTGGGGACTGTGGTGGGCGGCAAGGTGCCTGGAGGTGGAGAGATGTCCAAGTGGTATTGTTGCCACTGAAGCCTCTGCGGGACATCCCCAGGAAGAGTCAAAAGCAGCCTGCAGGTGCGGAAAGGGGCTGGGGTACTTTTGCAGGCTCCAGCGGCGAGGGTCCCTCCTCTCCTGTCCCACCAGGCAGGACATGTGGGGGTGACGACACCAGGCAGTGGCTGGGTGAAGTCATTTTATTCAAGGCACGGTCATAGCAATAAATCACAAGAAGGTACAGACCTCTGGCACATTCCTACAGCGGGGCAGCCAAGGGCAATCGGACCAGCAGCCCGAGCTCCCGAGGACATGGTGCCGCTTGCAGGCACTTGCTTCCACCCGGAGAGAGGCCACCAGCATCCTCCCTGCTCCGGCCGGGGCTGCCCCCAGAGCAGGCAGTGAGAGCAGCAGCTGAGCTGCGGGCAGCCCTGGGGGCACCTGGCCAGGGAGCCACAAGCACCCCAGGATGCTTCTGGGGGTTGGGAAGCAGCAGCTGAGCTCAAGGCTCCCCCAAGGCAACCACTCAGTGGCTAGAGCATACCACAGCCATCACCCCAGCATGCAGAAACACAGGTGGGACAGCAGCCATGGAGCTGCCAGCTGACCGAGCTGAGACCCACCAGCCCCACAGGGATGTCCCAGGGCCCACCTGAGTCCAACAGAGACCCACAGCTCGCTGCTGGGCTGCCTTTTAAATTCCCACCCCAGGACTGGCACACCATGCCCACCCTCCCCCTAGTGGCACCAGTAACGCCGCGTGGTGCCATGGCCGAGCATCTGCCTTCGCACAGCAACATTCCCCA